TGTGTGTGTACCTATGTGTATATCTGTGTGTGTGTGTGTGTGTGTGTACCTGTGTGTGTGTGTGTGTGTGTATGTGTGTGATACAGACACAGTTTTTGTGTGTGATTGTGCATCTGACAAAACCTAGACATTCCTTAATGTGTGGATACTGGTGTTATTTTTTGCAGCGAAAGAGCACTGCACACATTGACCTGCGACCTTCAGGGTCCAACACAAACACTCTGCAGCCTCCTGCACCTCATTTTAGCACAGGACAGACGTCTGGAGGTGAGTGTGTGCTTGTGTGAATGCTCAACGAGCTCACTTGCTAATGACACTGTAAACACTAAGACTTATACTTTACGGTGTTATTGCTATTGCCATGGCTGAATAACAATAACTTAATTGAGTGACAAATACTTTTTAGACTCAGATATGTGTCAAACAATTTAAGACTACCTCTTTTCTACTCTTACTAGACTTGTAATTTTGGGCTGTCTTTAAAGGAATAGTTCCTTTTAAATATTATTTGCTCACCCTCTCGTCATTTATAAGGAGCCCCTAAAGGGACATGGGGAAACATGAGATGGGAGGGAAATTGTGTTTCAATGCTTTTGCATTGTCTAACAAAACCTTTGAGTTCCCCCAAGAAACGTAGCATTTACACGAGAAACTTGGTTCACTCGTTAAACTTTTGCATTCCCCAATAAACTTTTGTTTTTGTACATTAAACTTTTATGTTTGCACACTAAACTTTTATGTTTGCTCTCTAAATGACATAGTTCGCCATAGTTTTGTTTAATTGTTAAACTTTTAAGTTCACTTGTTAAACATTTGCATTCCACCAATACACTTTTGCATTTACTGGCTAAACTTTTGTTTGTTCGTTAAACTTTTGTTTGCTCACTAAACATTTGTTTGCTAAATTTTGCTTGTTAAACTTTTGCATTCCTCCAATAATTTTTTACATGTGCTGGCTAAACATTCGTTTTTGTTTGTTAAACTTTTTTTTGCTTACTAAACGTTTGCATTTGATCATTAAACTTTTGTTTGCTTGCTGAACTTTTGAGGTTGCTGTCTAAACTTTTGTGTTTAGTCACTAAACTTTAGTTTTTGTTCATTAAACTTTCATTTTTGCTTGCTAAACTTTTGTTTTAGCTCACTAAACCTGCATTACTCTAATAGACTTTTACGTTTGCTTGCTAAACTTTTGCATTTGCTCACTTAACTTTTCGCATTTCGTTAAACTTTTGTGTTCTCTTGTAAAACTGTTGTGTTCCTCGAGAAACTTTGTGATGAAATGAATAAGAGAAGAGAAAAATATATATATTTCAATATATTTCAATGCTTTTGTGAGCGAATACAAAAGCATTGAAATATAACTTTTCCTCCCATCTCATATTTTTTCAGCGCTATATTCCTTTAAGGGCTCCATATGATCTAAACCTTTATGCTGTCTTTCTTTTTTTCTTTTTTTTTTTTTTTGTCCTGTGAAACACAAAAGCTGAAATTTTAAAGAATGTTCACGCTGCTCCTTTCCATGCAAGTTCCAAAAATTAAACTCCAAAAAACACAACTGAAGTACCACAAAAGTTGCCTAAATGTTCATTGTTGGGTCAACTATATCAAAATATCTGCAATTGTCAACAATTTTGGAGCGAGAATATTGGTAGGATGATAATGCAAAAGTGGACACATTTGTTATGTCCCTGTGCATTTGTCCCGATCTGTCTCTGTGTCCCTCTCTGATCGTTCTAAAGTCATCGCTCAGAAATCCTTGCCTAACTTAGCACAATGTTTACTCAGTGTAACACGACTCTAGTTAGCATTACCAAGAGAATGCCATTCTGACTCGGTTGCTTGCTACTTTAAAGGTGAATTCTATGAAGAAATGGTAAGAACAGACATGTACAACCATTATATTGTAGAATGGTATTAAATTCTTGTTTTATTATGGTTGCATTTTCATGATATTGTTGAGTGTGATCAACATCAGTGGAATTTCTATTAAAGCCCCACACTCTCCTCGTGTTTCAAAACAAAGAGCAGAACGTCTCTCCTCATCTCCTTGCCCTTCTCGTCCCTCGCCAAGCTTCATAGACCTCAGCTGCCACCTCCACAACCGTACTGCACTCAGCACCTGTCAGTTACGCTGCAGGAAATCGGCCTGTGGACACACACTAGCACACACCCAAATAACAGGGCGTGAGCTCGTCATATTTCTCATGTCAGGGTCTCACAGCGGGAGCGATGCGTGATGTATTGAAAACTTGAAGGAGGGTCTGACCTTATTGCTTTGGAGATGAAAGCTTCACCCTAAGTGCAAAATCATGTTGTGTGTTGTAGACGTCCCTTCCCTCTTTTAATAAATGCTTCTCACTGTTGGCACACGCTTAGCACTTAGCCGAGGAGATCAGGAAGAGCAACAGCTGAACGATGAAGCCAGCCCTGTTACCCTAGAACATTCTGAGGGGTGACATTACTTCAGTTCATCAGATGTCAGCACTGCTCAAGTGTGCTTGGCTGTGTTTGAAAAGGAAAAACTAGCATACAGCCTGCTCAGTACAACACTGTACGCACTGTGAAATAGTAGACATTCCTAATAATATTAGCTATTGAGGTCACATGACTTCATCAAGGTATTATAGGTGCACTTCCGATGTAAAGGCTCATCTAGATTTTTCAAGACAGATTGCCAAAATGCCAGACACAGTCAAAAAAAACAAAAAAAAAAACACTTGCTGGTTTAGACTGGCTAAGCTGTGGATACATGGAAAGTAGCAGGAAAATGTTATAGATACACTTATTCAATACTGAACGTCATTGAAAAAACTGCATTCCGGTTGAAAAAAATAGCTCAAACAAGCCTAAGAAGATCTTGACTGGTTTAAAATGTTTTTCCAGCCTGATTACTTGAAACGTACCTAAAACCCCTCTAAAACCAGCCAACAGACCAGTGTCTGACCAAGATAGGAGATCAGCAAAGACCAGCAAATCTGGTTTAGTCTAGTTAATTTTATTATTTGGTCATTAAAACAGTGTATTTTACATATTGTGCTATGTATTTGTAAGAATGTTACAGTATTGCATGGTTGGCTTAGTGACATGCTACATTGAAACTGTCTTCAAATCGACTAAGTGTTGTAGCCTTGTGTGCTATTTGTGGCATGTACAAGTGACCATTAAGAAGGTCTTTTCTCCTATTTAAAGGATTTCAAATCAATTTAGTTAGCTTCCTAAAGGTTTGGTCACATTTACCAGTGCTTGGAGACATTTTGCAAAAAAATTCTCGCTTGATTCAATAGTAATCTGTACGTTTGGGAGTTTCACATAAGGGCAAAAAAGTTTCCTATGTTAAAATGTAGTCTTGTGAATTCACCATGATGAAAGGGAACTTCTTTGAGAGTGTCAGCAGTGCTTCATACATCACTACACTATTGACAATATACAATGGACCTTTTTGTATACAATTTTCGACTGCACATTAAGACATAGACTGTGAGGTACTGTTCTTGGAACATGCTCATATTGCTTTTATTTAATTGAACATTGGATGATTTAACCAGTGCATGCTTGTAGTTACTGGAAACGGACATGTTGTTTGAGTAAATACCTGACTTTCTCTTGGAGAAATGCTGTCAATGTGTTTGGATGGAGACCAGCACTGACTTCATCTTCTCCAGAGGGTCTTGTTGATTTAAAATGACGTCACAGGTTGTGCTTCGGGTCACAAATGCAAACACAGACTCAAGTCCCGAGCTGCCTGTGTGTGCGTTTTTAGGTGTGTCACTTACATGGGGAAAGTGATTGGACTCATGGTTCTGGCCTCGTGTGTCTGATCCTCCAGCACACACGTCAATGCCTCACGGAGTGGGCGGTTCATTCAGTCCCAGTGCCTCGGAAAGCTTGAGATATGAAGTTCTCAGGAGAGAGTTGCCGAATTATAGGTTATCGTAAACCAAATATTAGAGCTGACTTGCGTTCATTTGAACAGAAACTCACATTGACACAAAGAAACTCACAAGGTTCCAATGTTCTGATTTGCTTTGGACTTCAAAGGGCGACCCACAGTTTAGTCTTGGTCGTATTTTTGTTCTCTTTGCGCACAGTTTTAACTAGGGCTGCACGATAAATCGCATGCGATATTTAACGCGCATCTTGTCAGAAAGCCGGTTCTGTAATCAGCGGTAAATCTCCATCACGTGCGTGCTTTCACATTGAGCAGCATTAACTACACAGAGCCGTTGTTCACTGATGAGCTGCGCAAAAAATCGCGCGAATATGAACATGGTTTTGCGCAGCTCGTCAGTGAACAACGGATCTGTGTAGTTAATGCTGCTCAATGTGAAAGCACGCACGTGATGGAGATTTACCGCTGATTACAGAACCAGCTTTACTGACAAGATGCGCGTTAAATATCGCATGCGATTTATCGTGCAGCCCTAGTAAAAACCCTTCTTTTTTGCTGTTTGATGATGTGGTATTACTCTGTAATCCCCCTTCTTCTTCTTCTTCTTTTGGAGTTTTATGGCGGTTGGCAAACAAACGATA